ACAACGTAGTGAGACCCTGGTCTCAAAATAAAAATTTAAAAAAGGGATGGGGATGTATGTAGCTCAGCAACAGACTGTCCCTGGGTTCAATCTCTAGAACCATACTAAACAAATGTTTGGAACTGAAAACTATAAACAATTCAACTGCTCATTAGTGAAATGGATAAACCATGGTATATTCATCAAGTAGAATGCTACACATCAATGAAAAGAACCAGCTTCAGGCATAGGCATTAACATGAAAAAATTAAAAAAAAAAGATGAATAATAAAGTCAAGTCTCAGAAAAATGTTTCTATTAATATAAATTTGACAAACAAGGAAAACAACATATTCCTTAGGAATATATACACATGTGGTAAAACTATAAAGAAAAGCAAGGATATAATTAACACAAAAATTAGGACAATACTTACTGCTTGGAAAAGAAGGTAATATATCATTGGAGTTCAAAGCAATTAGTAGGAATAAACCCAGGTATATAGGAATCACATTGTAAAGGGATTATGCTGTCTAAATTTGAAATAAAAAGCACCAACTAGATAAAATTCCAAGTCATCTACGGTATATGCTAATTACAAAATGTGATTAGTGTTCAGTGGTGCACACCTGAAATCCAGCTATTGGGGCAGCCTGGACAACTTAATGAGATGCTATATCAAAATAAAATTTTAAGCTAGGCGCAGTGGCGCACGCCTGTAATCCCAGTGGCTTGGGAGGCTGAGGCAGGAGGATCAAAGTTCAAAGCCAGCCTTAGGAAGTTTGAGTCCCTAAGCAATTCGGTGAGACGCTGTCTCTAAATAAAATACAAAATAGGGTCGGGGATGTGGCTCAGTGGTTGAGTGCCACTGAATTCAATTCCCAGCACCAAATAAATAAGTAAATAAATAAATAAAATTTTAAAAAGGGTGAGGAGCCAGGAGCAGCGGTGCATATTGATAATCCCAGTGATTCAGGAGGCTAAGGTAGCAGGATTATAAATTTGAGGCCAGCCTCAGCAATTTAGTAAAACCCTGTCTCAAAAGAAAAAAAAAAAAAGACATCGTGAGGCTAGGAATGCAGCTCAGTGGTAAAGCAACGCTGGATTCAATCCCCAGACAAAAATAAATAAAAATAAAAGGGCTAGGCACTGTAGTTCAATAGTAGAATGCTTACCTAGCATGCTCAAAGCCCTGGTTTCAACACCCAGTACCATGAAAAGCAAAACGGTAAAATGGTGAAAGGTTGGAATTAAAACAGATGGAAAGAGACAGAGTCAACAGACACCGTGCAAAGGAAGTCGGTCAGCGATATTCAAAACACACAGAAAGAGATGCTCAGGCAAAACAAATTACATTCCAGCGAATACTGTGGATCACTAAACATTCACCAGTAATATAATAATTCTGAACTTGACATAGCTAATATACCTTCAAAATAAAGACAATGTGACAGAATTATAAGTAGATAAATTCGCCACTTACAGAAAATGGTGTGATACATCCCTAAAATACAGAGCAATTACACGGAAAACAATTAAAAAAAAAAAAGCTACTCTTTTGGAACACACGCCCCTTCCCCCTCCAGTTTTCATGCCTTGGCCTGCCCAGAGCAGCCTCCCACTCTCCCCAGATGGCTGCTCCAGATCTGCTCTCCCCAAAGCCTCAGCCCCTGCTACCTCCTCACATGAACCTGGGAGCAACAGCACATGCCTGTAATCCCAGAGACTCAGGACGCCAAATTCAAGAACAGCCTCAGCAATTTAGTGAGGCCCTAAGCAACTTAATGAAACCCTCCCAGTCTCAAAATAAAAAATAAAATAAAAAAGGGATGGGGATGTAGCTCAGTAGTAAGTACTGCTGGGTTTAATCCCCAGTACCAAAAAAAAAAAAAAAAAAATTGTACTTGAATGTTTGCAGCAACATTATTCATAGCAGACAAAAATTAAAAATAACCCAAATGTTCACCAACAGATGAATACCTGAGTAAATTGTAGTATATTCATAAAATAGAATGTTATTTGGCAACAAAAAATGAAATGAAGTATGGAAACATGCTATAACATGGATGAACTTTCCTTGAAAACATGCTGTGTGAAAGAAGTCAGACACAAAAGATCACATATTATATGATTCCAATGACATGAAATGTCTACATTAAGCAAAATATATAGAGACAGAAAGCAGATTAGTAGCTGCCTATTGATGGTGGGGGAAAGACAGTTTATGAATATGGAGTATCCTTTTGGGGAGATTAAAAATGTTCTGGGTGCAGTGGTATACACCTATAATCCCAGTGGCTTGGGAAGCTGAGGCAGGAGGATTAGAGTTCAAAGACAGCCTCAGCAACATCGAGGGGCTGAGTAACTCAGTGAGACTCTGTCTCTAAATAAAATATAAAATAGGGCTAGGGATGTGGCTCAGTGGTTGAGTGCCCCTGAGTTCAATCTCCAGTACCAAAAAAAAAAAAAAAAAAAAAGATTTGGAATTAGGTAGAAATGATGGTTGCACAATAATGTGAATGTACTAAATGTCATAGAATTGTACAGATTAAAAAGGTCAATTTTATGGTATGTGAATTATATCTCAATAAAGCTGTTACAGGGCTGGGGTGTGGCTCAATGGTAAGAGTGGACTTGCTAGCATTTGAGAGACCCTATCACAAATAGGGTGAAATGAAGACATGCACAGTTTCGAAAAATTTCTTTCTAATGTATTCCAGTAAAATGACAGACAAAAACCAAGAAAGCAGAAGACCATGTGGTCGAAAAAGCAGGGTGCCCATCATGGAAAAATGCCAAGGACAATCCCTGGTGTTGCAAGGAAAAGTCTCAGGGACAGCAGCTAAACAGCAGAACAATAAACCAGGCCCAAGCAGAGGACAAGGGGGCAGGAAAAATATGAAATCATGAGATTTATCTGATGATTTGGAAAATACTATTGATGAGCATTGGTGGATCTGGTGGAGCAGGTAGAGAAATTACAAATAAGAATTTAGAAAAAATGGGGCTGGGGTGGTAGCTTAGTGGTAGAGTGCTCGCCTAGCATGCATGAGGCACTGGGTTCGATCCTCAGCACCACATAAAAACAAACTAATGTGTCTACCTAAAAACTAAAAGATACATAAATAAATAAATATTAAAAAAAAAAGAATTTAGAAAATGAACCAGGCCTAGTGGCACACACTTGTAATTCCAGCTACTCTGGAGGCTAAGGCAAGGGGATCTAAAGTTTGAAGCCAATCTGAACAGCTTAACTAGAACGATTAATCTCAAAAAGATTAAAATAAAAAGTGGGGCTGGGGATACAGCTCAGTTGGTAGAGTGCTTGCCTTGCATGCACAAGCCCTGGGGTTCACTCCTCAGCACCACACACATACAAAACAAATAAAAATAAAAAGGACTGGGGATGTAGTTCAGTGCCACAGCACTTTCTTAGCATGTGCAAAGCCCAGAGTTCAATCACCAGTAACCCCTGCCCTGACAAATTTAGAAAACAGAATGTACCACAAAGGACGTAATCATTCTAGGAAAAACAAAATGTATTAAAAAAAGAAACTGAAATAATAAATTAGAATGTAGTAAACAATAGCTGCATATTCATAGTAAACAGAAGCATTGGCTGTTACTTAGCAAAAATCCACATGAGGTCATATGTGGAGGATGGGGTACAGGAGGTGGAGGTCTTTTGATAGGTCTAACACTCATTTATTATAACATGAAATCACCACATAATGATGACTAATTTTAGAGAGGAAATAGAAAGTAATCACATTTTAAAAAAGAAACATGAAGGGCTGGGACTGTAGCCCAGTGGTAGAGCGCTTGCCTAGCACACGTGAGGCACTGGGTTCAACCCTCAGCGCCACATAAAAAATAAATAAATAAAATAAAATTATATAAAGAAAAGAAAAAGAAACATGGAAGCAAATAGCAGAACAGACATCTGATCAGAGCTAGCAGTGGGGAAGACTGCAGTGGGAAGTGGCTGGATAGTTTGTCAGGCACCTTGGGTGTTTTCTGATCCTTGACTCTGGTTTGATTTTTTTAAATACCTCATTGTAAAAAGTTATTAGGCACATACCCCACAACAGTTCCCTACACACCAGTGGGTGTATCAAAGCTGGGAACCAGCCTAGAGGACCATAAAAACTGATACCAAAGCACGCTCTAAATCATCAAAGGGTACACTCCTCGGGCTACCCTGGCAGGGTCACTGGAATGTGAATCTGTCCTATTGGACACCAGGAAGACCTGTCCTTCCTGAACTTTTGTGGAGGAGGAATGAATGGGAAGCAGAACTTTGGCTGAATGAGGTCAGTGCAGGGCAATAGGCTGGAGCTTCCCAAGGACCTGCCTTTTCTTGCTTTCCTGCTAGGCAAGTACTCTGCCACTGAGCTATACTCCAGCTCGATCTAGTTCTTTCTTAAACTCATTTCTTAGTTTTTTTTTTTTTGTTTTTTTTTTTAAGGCATGGTATAGATAGAGATGGTAAGTGGAAAAGTAGAAAACTTCTGTTCTTCACATCCTATCAAGGCTATGTCAGATTTCTGGTGTTTGGCACACAACAAACAATAAGGAGTTGTTGATGGAACAATTATGGTACCAACTTTCTCTGTGTCCCGCAATCCATCAGGCCTTTCACACCAACCATCACATTCAATCCTCACAACATGCCTATGCAGTTCAAGAGGAGGATTAGGAAACAGGCTCAGAGTAACCTGAGTAAGTTACTCTGAGCCTGTTTCCTAATCATTAGTAGGGAAGAGCTGGGATGCAAATTCATGTGTGGCTGAGCCCACTGCCTACACGACTAGCAGCTGTTGCCTTAGTCTTAGTCCTAACTAGAAAGACATTTAGTTGGTAGGTAAAGATGGATGGCAGAAAGGAAAAAAATGAAAGTAAAACTGGCCCAAGAACAGAATCTAAGAGACTCTCCCCAGAGGCCTAGGCTGGCCAAAAGCTGGAGAACAGCCATGTGCCCCTGTTCCCTTGCCCCAGGGGATCATTCTTACAGTACACACCTTCTTCAGAGAGGTTGTTCTCTTTGGTCTCCTTGTCCATCTGGCAGCACCAGCCTTCCAGCCGCTCTGTCTCTGCCTGCAGTAGCTTCAAGAACCAGTAGCCATCTCGGCGGCAGGCCCCCGGCTGTGCTGGCTCTGATGGGGAGCTGGAGGAGGTCTCGAGCCAGGGGTCAGGTGGGGGCAGCGAGGACGCCTCAAGGGCAGGGTCGCTGTTGTCTCCATAGGAGAGGTTGCGCTTGATCTGGGCAATCTTGGGGGCCTGCCGGGGGCCAGCATCAATGCTGATGGAGTTGGGGTGTGGGGTACAGTCCGGGAGGCTCCTCTCAGATGACTTACAGCTGGAGTCATTGGCATCCTGGGTATCGGAGTCTGTGTCCCGTCGGGAGGACATACTGTGAGAGGGGGCGCTGCTTCTGTGGGTGGGGGGTGGATGGGGTAGGGACAGGAAGGAGCGAGTCACCAAAAGGGCCAGAGACCAGAGGCCACTTGACCCGGACACACGGGAGACAGAGAAACGGATGCATCATCTGCTCACCATGCGCCGGAAGCGGGTCCCACAGCCCCCGTCTCATTCTCTGCTCAGCCCTTGCCCCGTCCCACCCATACCCACACGCACGCACACACACACAAGGACAAGGTCATAAGGTTGCCTGTTTACTGCAGTGGGGCCAGGAAGACCACCAACATCAGGTTAGCTGGGGCCATGTCCCAGCCCAGCCTTGGCCCCCGTGGGCTGACTGGTCTCACAGAGCAAGTGCTCATTTGTCCACCCACCCACCCCCTGCCCAGCCTCCCATGCCTGGGCCACGCCAGCACCCCAAACCCAGCTTGGTTACTAGAAATCCAGCAAGGAGAAGTGGGTTAGGGAGAGCAGGAGAGGTGAGAGCAGAGGGAGGGAGAGGAGGGGGAGAAGCGGCCACCACCTCTGTCCAACTTACCGCCAGTCGTCCTCTACCTGAACCCCGATGGACTGGAATTTGGTAGCGGGACTGGGCTCCTCTTTTGGCACTGGCTGAATGCAGTCAACCTTATTGAAGGACAACGACAGCAACGGCACGGAGACAAAGACAAAAATAAAAAACAAACACCACACTTGCTGCTGAAATTCACATTAGTGGGACGACGCAAACGGACGTGTGGACAGACAGACACGAGGCATGCGGACACTGCACGTAGGCCCGAGGCCGGACCAGGTTAAGCCGGGCACTGCTCATTCGCGCGGAGGCGGGAGGTGGGATGGGGTGGAGATGACTGGCTTTCCCTACTCTGAGGAGGGTGCCATCACATCGATCGCTTTGGGTCCGTTGTCGTCCGAGAGGTGGGAACCGTTCCTTCTAGTCCTCTCCTTTACACGCATCAGAGAGAAGAAAAAAAAAAGGACAACGAAAGAGAAAGAGAACACACACACACACACACAAAGCCACAGCCGTTATCTGGTGCAGTTGAAGCTGGGGGCTGTCTTGAGGCAAAGATCACTCCCCCAACCCTGAGGCTGAAGCCTGGAAGGGCAGGTTGGAGACCCTGGACCAAGGGCAAACTGTGGACAGTGGTACTGGGTTTGAGAACTGCCACCAAAGTAAGAATTAGTGAAGCCCGGAACAGTATGAGATGCCGTCCCTGGATCTCAATCACAGTTGGTCATAGTGAGGCCTCCTTCAGCATGAGTGGGCAGCAGAGCCGACGCCACGCCAACACTTGTTTTGTAAAAGGGAGGAAACATGGCAAGAGCAGTGCCCTGGGCCTGCCCATCTCTTCTGGGACAAAGGAGCATCCAGACCAGCCCTCTCATCATGGCTCGAGAATGAGGGGTCAGGGTAGCCTCAGAAACTGGAACTGTCCAGTCACTTCATTTCATGAATAGAATAGGGACCAGGGAAGCTTTCTGGCATGGGGATGCAGCCATATCTCCCCCTGGCAAGAGCCAGCTGAGGGGGAGTAGCATCATTGTATCTTCATGGAGTTGCAGTGAGAACAAGGGACAGGGTGAAGCCAGGGAAAGAGACACCCAGAATCAGCCCAAGAACGATTTTGTCCTGTTTTATGTAAAAGGACAAGGATGTCCTAGTTCTCTTGGGCCTTCTGGGAAGATAGGAGGATCTGGTTTGGCCAAAAAGAGAGTGGGCTGCCTAAAGATGGGTGGTGGGGATTACGGGTTACTCCATGCTCCCGAGAATCCCACCTGGAGAGGCTGGACAAAGTGGGGGGTGAGTCCTTATGAAGAAGCCCAGCTGGATGGAGCCAGCAGGAGCACAGAAAACAGGAGAGTCTCCTGGCCAACTTCCTTCCTGTCTATACACAGGGAAACCAAAGCCTGGAGATGCCTCTTGGCAGATACAAGCTAGTTCAGTGAAAAGACTTGCCCCGTAAGCTTTCTCTATTCCATTCAATGTCCTTGTGTTCCACGTTCTTTTCCATGCTAGTGTTTTCTCATTAGCTTGGCCACATTCACTTGCACAGGGGTGGCTGGGGAAATGGAAATCCCTTCAGCCCTAAGCCCCAGCACACACCACTTTGATCTACCCTTGGAAGGGTTCTACCTCTCCCTGAGCTCTCTGCCCACTGTAGCAGCCTCTCTCCCTGCCTTGAGTGTGCCCTACTTTCTCCTTTAGTCTGAAGGCCCGAGGCAGAGAGAGTCCTAGTCTGAAGGCCCGAGGCAGAGAGAGTCCTCTCATTCTTGATTTAAAGCAACTCCTGAAAACTATTAGGCAGCCCAAGTTTGCCCCACTCAGCTAACAGAAGACACACTGCTAATATTGGGTACATGCAGGAGGTTCCACAAGGCAGGGAAGGGGAAAACGGGTGCTCCTTCCTGCTGGTTGCCATGGATATGAGTGTGTAGTGGCATTTGGCTTCTGGCAGGGCCCTCTGGCTTGGGCCACATGGCCCTGAGGAACCATCTCACTGGTCCATTTCCCATGGATGGAGGCTTTGGGACCGGCATCATACTTTTCAATTTGACATGAGCCTGGTGCCTCAAGCCACCTACCTGTCCCCAAGGCCCGAGAGGGCTCTGGGCAAAGATCCCCTTGAGCAACCCCCACAGCTCAAGGGCCCTGGGTCCTGGGCCCGTGACCCTTCGGTGTTAATGTTCCACGCTGTTCCCACTGCCAAACGGGGCTATGGCTTCCGTACCCGAGCTGACCTTAGATTAAAGAACTGTTAGGCCAGTCCTGCCTCCCATGGGTTGGCTGGCAGGGCAAAGGGTGGAGTGGACAGACAGACAGTGGACAGCAAACAGTGGACAGGAGATGGCTGGCTGAGTGTAACTACATTCACTGGGATAACCCACCAGAGGAGCAGGAATATATGCCCACGGCGCAGGCTCTGCAGCACGGTGGGTGGACACGAGGAGAGCATGCCTGAGTGAAGTTTGGCTCAGCCCCTTGGAGGAGACCCCCAAAATTGACAGATAAACCACCTTTTCCCAAGAGACCTAGTGGGCCTCCGCCAGATGTAATTACACGCAGGCAGGTGCACAGAATGGACTGAGGACACAGTGCAAAAGGGGCTCCTACTTGTATTCCTATTGATGACAGTTTCCGTTTGGGGATGGCCTCAGAGTGAGACTCGGAGCTGGTCAGCGTCCCTTGTTCGTTCTTCAAAGCTGCATGTTTTGGAGGTGGCTCTGGGGCTTCAGGGGCTGGGATGATTCCGCCCCGCGTCACGCTTGGTGGTCGGGTATTGCTGTCTAGGCTGTCTGATGAGTTGCTTAGGCCCGACTGGCTCGTCACCTCACTCTTGTGGTCCTGGCTGTCCAGATAGGTGTCCTGGGCAGACTCGGTACTGCTCTGGACTGTGACGGAGATGAACGGCTTTGATGTGGTACGTGGAGGGACCGGTGGTGGGGTCTTCTTATATGCCACTAGGCATGATGAACCTGTAGGTTGGTGAGAGGAGAAAGTGAAGCCTCCGACCCTCTCAAGCCCCTTTCAAGACTGAGACCCTGCCTGACATGGCCCTAACTCCGGCCTCAGACATCACCTCTATGAGGACTTGTGGAACAAGAATATGAGGTCCCCAACAACCAAGATAGACACTCACAGGCCCTGTCCACCACCATTTGAGGCCAAGGCTAGGAGGGAATGCAACATTAACCAAGGACACTGTCCACCTCAGTCACACACAGAGGTATTATTCAGTTGGGACATAGGATAGATGGCCAGGTGCACTTAAGTTCAAAGCCCCAAGGCTGGGACAGAGCCTGACCCATGCCCGGAAGAGGTGGTGGTAGCAGTGGAACTCAAGACAGCTGAGGAATGGTTAACTTTGCTTTCCTCACAGTCACTGAGACACCTACTCCTCCCCGGTCTTTTCCTTTTTCTTTTCACCCTATCTCTTCCTACTGTGTGGTTGTGCCTTCCCATCTTTTCAAAGATGAACTTATCTTTCAGGACTTGGCTAACCCATTTCTATCTTGCCTTTATCACCCCACCTCCTCCTCCTCATGTGACTACCCACCCAACAACCTACCATCCCCAAGACTCCATCATGCCTGGTCCAACTCCCTGTCTTCTGCTAAGATTCAGGGAATCAGAAGCTACCAAAAGTGGGCTCTGAGAAATTTCTGAATCACATTCCTAGCCCCACCTGGGTAGGGCACTGAGCATGGCATAGGATACCACAGGCCAGTGTCCTGCTTCTCGGAGGCTGCACTGTCGGAAACAGAAGATGCTCTTCCAGGAGTGCTGCCCCTGCGAGGGCTGGGTCTGCCCACTGTCCTTTCTCAGTACCTTAACTGCAGGTGCCCTCTGCCCTGTGGGGATCAAAACAAGCCCTGCCTCATCCTGGGAGTGGCAGCCAGATGAGCCCTGCCTTCAAAAGCTACCACTCACACAGATGGTGTTGGTCACAAAACAAGGCCCCAGTGCCATAGGGGACACGGATAAGGGAGAGCAAAATCCTTCTTCCTGCAAATTGCACATACTATGCAGTATTACTACACAAATCTATCAGAAGAGCTAAAAGGAAGTGATAACATTAAATGTTATGTGAACTGCATGGCACAAACCACCCGGAAAACAGAATGCATTTTCTTATAAAATCAAACATGCAATTAGCATAAAACCCAGCAACTGCACCCTTGGGCATTTATCCCACAGGAATTATAGGGAGAATGTTCAGGGCAGCTTTATTTGTAACAGCCAAAAGCTGGAAACAACCTAGATGTCTGTCAGTGGGTGAATGGTTAAATGTACTGTGGTACACCCATACCATGGAATACTCCTCAGCAATAAGAATGAATGAATGATTGTTATAAGCAACAATTTGGAAAAAATCACAAGCAAATTATGCTGAGTGAAAAAAGCAATTTCAAAAAGTTCCATCCTATTTAATTCTATCTTGATAAAATTCTTTTTTTTTTTTTTTAAGTTACTAGAGATTGAATCCAGGGGTGTTTAACCACTGAGCAACATCCCCAGCCTATTTGGTATTTTTTTATTTAGAGACAAGGTCTCACTAAGCTGCTCAGGGCCTAAGTTGCTGAGGCTAGTTTTGAATTCACAATCCTCCTGTTTAAGCCTCCCAAGTTGTTGGGATTATAGGCCTGTGCCACCACGCCTAGCTATAAAATTCTTGCCATGACTTAATTTCAGAGATGAAGAAGAAATTAGTAATTGCCAGTAGTGGGGTAGGAGAATTGAGGGGGAAAGCTGACAGGATGAGCAAGAGAAAAGTAGGTGTGGTTTAAAAACAAGAGGAACCCTATGTGGTGATGGCCTGGTTTAGCATCTTGACTGGGAATCATTATATCTGCATGTGTTATGAAACTGCACAGAATTAAACAAACGTGCACACGTGAGTATGACAGAAACTGGGGAAATACAAATAGATTGGGTGGACTGTACCTATGACCATATTTTGGATGTGAGATGGTCCTACAGTTTTGCAAGATTTTACCATAGAAAAATACTGGGTAAAGGTCAATACACAGAAACCCTGACTGCCCCACCTTTTCTGGTACCATACTAGGGACTGAACCCACAGTCTCATACATTCTAGACAAGTGGTCTACCACTGAGCTACATTTATAGCCCTTTTATTACTTTTTAAAATTTTGAGACAGGACCTCACTAAGTTGTACAGGCTAGCTTCAAACTTGTGATCCTCCCACCTAAGTCTTCCAAGCTGCTTTACAGCTGTGCACCACTGCATGTGAATCTACAATTACCAAAATATGAAAAATTCAGTTAAGGGCTGGGGAAATAGCTTAGTTGGCTTGCCTCACATGCACAAGGCCCTAGGTTCAATCCCCAGCATGGGTGGAAAAATTCAGTTAAAAAAAAAAAATCCATCTGTCTTTCATCCAAGAGACATCTATGAAGCCAGGCTCTGTATTGGATTTCAAAAACTAAAAACCCTCATCAGCAGAGAAATGGGAATGAAATGAGAAATTCTAAAGTAACAGAAACCACAACAGAAAAGCCCAGGGAGCTAGAAGCTAGGTCCTGTGCCCAACTTAATCTGGAGGTGATATGTTCTAAGAGCTCTGACCCAGAACACTTTCTATTCTGTTCAAAATTTCCTAGCCTTGCTTAGGCCTTGAGGAAATTCAGGGACCTCCCAGACACACTTACAATCTCTGGTTACCAACCTATAAAGGGCAAGACAGCCTCATCTCTGGGTCAAGAAAAGAAAGTCCACAGTGGAGTAGAAGGCAAGGTTAGGTCATCAGATGATCCTCCACTTACAACCTTGCACAAAAGGAGGCAAACCTGCTCAGGGGATAAGAGTGTTTGTTCCTGGCTGACCCTAACACACAGGCTGATGGCCCAAACTTGGGTCATTTACTAAGTTGTATCCAGCAGCTTTGGGGCTTTGTAACTTAAGATGCACAGAGATTCTATGAGGTGGGGTATCAATCATGCCTATTTTACAGATGGGGCACACAAAGCTCAGAAACGCTAAATAACATGCCTTAGTCCATGTCAACCACATCTGCTTGACTTGCACAGCTACCTTACTCTGTTCCCCAGGCCTTAGACCCCTCCCAGCTGGGCAGGGGCTGTAGGTGTTTGAGGCCTGTGAACATAGTGATATGTTCCCACAGCTGGGCTCTGGGGCCAGCTGCAAGGCCATGCCTGAGCTAAGATCTCACTGCTGGGGTAGAAAGGGCTGAAAGGCAGAGACTTGGTTTCCAGGCCTGTCTCTTATCAGGAAAGAAGGCCTGCTTGCCCTCTGGCCCTTTCAGTATCCTCATCTATTCAGTGGGTAGGGTGGGGGTGTGATTCTAACTGGGTAAGAGCACACCATATTCACAGAGCCCATGGCAAACTCATCTTCTCATTCTTTGTTTTCCTTTGGAACTGGGGATTAAACCCAGGGGTGCTTAACAACTGAGTTAACAACCCCAGCCCTTTTTTAATATTTTATTTTATTTTTTGAGAGAGAGAGAAAGAGAGAGTGAATTTTAATATTTATTTTTTAGTTATTGGTGGACACAACATCTTTGTTTGTATGTGGTGCTGAGGATCGAACCCGGGCTGCACGCATGCCAGGTGAGAAAGGGAGTAATGAATTGGGCTGTATCACAGAAGTCAGGCTCAGTCTGGCCTGATCCCACTGGTGTTGGGTACGGAGGGAACTGGGCCAGATTTCTACCACTCCCTAGCTACTGATTCTCTGATCAGCCCAGGGGAAGTTCCCCCCAAGAATTGGACATTTATAGCAGCAGTTGAAGCCAACCACTACAGCAACCAACAGCACCGGTTCACTGGGATTTCAGGAATGGATTTGTTTGGCCTAGAAAGTCCCAGGTTTGGGTGCTGGTGATGGGGGGAGAGGTTTTCCACACTGAAGCTGCCAGGCACAGTGACACACACCTCTAATCCCAGTGGCTTGGGGGGTGGAGGCAGGAGGATCTCAAAGCCAGCCTCGGCAAAAGTGAGGTGTTAATAAGCAATTCAGTGAGACCTTGTCTCGAAAAATAAAATACAAACTAGCGCTGGGGGTGTGGCTTAGGGGTCAAGTGTCTCTGAGTTCAATACCTAGTACCAAAAACAAAACCAAAACAAACAAACAAACAAAAAACCCAGTGAAACCAGCCTCAATTTGCTCAAAATGAAAATGAATCTGCCCTGTAAGAGTGCAATAATTACTGTGTGGAAACTAAAGCCTGGCTGAGGCTGTGTGATCCCAGTCAAAGTCCTGGTGTCCATCTCTGAGGTGGGGCTAATACAGGCTATAAGGAGTCAGTATGTGTGATGGTCTCCAGGTGTGGTAGGGAAGAGGTACCCCTTCTCTTGGGAGACAACAGGGCTGCTCACAGTCAGCAGTCTGGACAGAAGGCAGAGCTCCAACTATTCTTTCAGAACTGACAAGGTCCAGGGTCCTGCTGAAGCACACAAAGTAGGCAGTCATTGGAGGGAAAGTGAACTGGTGAGAGGCCAGGTCAGATGCAGTAAGGGCCAAATATGATAAAAGTAAACTTATCTTGGATTCTCTGTCTCCTGGGGTTCAGGTCACAAACAGATAAATGGTGCAATTAAGAGGGTTTGGGGGGCTGAGGCCTCCCTGGGAGTGGGCATCTCTGCTCTGAGACCCACTCCCAGGGCAGGGGTGTGGAACCTAACTTCATTTCCAGAGCCTGCATGCAGGAAACAGGCCAATGCCTCACCCTTGGCCCTGCCAACATCTCAATCCATCTCTCCCCACTTCAGTTCCTTACATGTTTCTAGTGTTACTTTCTCTGAGAGCCCTTCCCTGACTACGCTCCTTTTTCCATCACCCAGGAACCTCTGTCAGAGTTGCCATCATTTATCTGCTCTTTTAAGAATCTGTTGCCAGGTACAGGCAAGGAGCAGTAGTGGGCTTGCGTATGTGTGTGGGGGGTGTGTGAAAGTAGGGGGAAACTGTCTTGGCAGAGGCCCAGGGTAATGA